ACAATAAGAGCCCTGTCTGGGTTTTTCCAAAAATAAGAGCCCTATCAGGGTTTTTTTTTCACAATAAGAGCCCTATCAGGGTTTTTTTTTCACAATAAGAGTCCTGTCAGGGTTTTTTTCACAATAAGAGCCCTGTCAGGGTTTTTTTTCACAATAAGAGCCCTGTCTGGGTTATTCCAAAAATAAGAGCGTCCTCAGGGTTTTTTCACAATAAGAGCCCTGTCAGGGGTTTTTTCACTATAAGAGCCCTGTCAGGGATATTTTCACAATAAGAGCCCGATTAGGGTTTTTTCCAAAGTAAGAGCCCTGTCAGGGTTTTTTCCAAAATAAGAGCCCTGTCAGGGTTCTCGTCTCCTGCGTCGTCCATGTTTGACGTCTAAATTGATCCTGGTTTTAATGTATCGCTTCCTTATTTTTAATCTTAAACCATCAGAATCTGATGCTTCAGTCCGACCATAACTTACGGTGTTTGTCTGACTGGACCTCAGACTGTTCTCGGTTCTGTTTCAGCCCACCCCTCCCCCTCCTCCAGTGCCCACCAAGCAGCAGTATCTGTGTCAGCCGCTGCTGGACGCAGTCATGGCCAACATCCGCTCTCCGGTCTTCAACCACTCCTTGTACCGGACCTTCGCTCCGGCCATGAGCGCCATCCACGGACCGCCCATCACGTATGCCTCTCTCCTTCTGCTCCTCACTGGTTCACCTCGCCCTGTCTGTGTCTGACTCCCGTTATCTGCTCCTCAGGGGGCCTAATATCTGCGGGAGGAAGAGGAAGCATGAGGAAGACGAGCGGCAGACCATCCCAGACATCCTGCAGGGGGAGGTGGCGCGCCTCGACATCAAGTTCCTGGTTAATCTGGACCCGTCCTTCTGCAGCAACAACGGCACGGTGCACCTGATCTGCAAGTTAGGTGAGACGCTGTGAATGGCTGATCAAAGCCGCCCTGATGGTTCCTGTGAAAAGCTTCTGGAAGCTGCTGGATCCGAACGTCGCTGCTTTTCATCTCTGTTTTGTTTTTTGTCCATCAGACGATAAAAACCTTCCCAGCGTTCCTCCTCTGCAGCTCAGCGTTCCCGCCGACTATCCGGACCAGAGTCCCCACTGGGCCGACGATGGCGATCAGTACGGTGAGGAGCCACAGAGTCCCAATCAGTACCGAGGACAGTTCCTTCCATTAATCCTGCCAAATGTTTATTTTATTTTTAGTAAATTACTAAATGTTGTAATTTAGTAATTCAGTCTAATTATTAAACTGAAAAAAAATCATTTATTTTATTATTTATTTCAATTTTTTATTTTTTTTTCCGATTGAGTTTCAGAAAAATTGCGTTCTATTTAACTGACCTCTCATCTCTGGGGGCGGGCTTTCCTCCAGAGTGAAGCGTTTCTATTGGTCAGCTGGACCTAGACACATTATTACTGGTCAAAAGCGAGTGTTTGGATTGGCCTGAGGACGAGACCTTTTCAATTTGACAAGATATCTGTGTCCTGCTGGAAAAAAATAAAATATAAAATCTCTAAAAGAAGAGAAAATAAAATAGGAAAAAGGTTTCCAGTACATTCACGCACACACTGATGGTGGTGAGCTACATTGTAGCCACTGCTGCCCTGGCGCTCACTGACAGAAGCCAGGCTGCTGTACGCTGGCGCCACCATCTGACCACCATCAGTAGACATGGCGGCGCTGCGCTGTCACTGGGAATCCCCAGCAGCAGCTGCCTCAGGCCCGCTCGCCTCTTGGGGGTTTTCCCCTCCTGTTGGTGGCGGCTGGAAGTAGATGTTAGCGTTTTTCAGGTCTGTGCTACAAACTGCAGGCAGCAGGATAATAAAAGCCAACATATTCTGCCGGCAGGTTTCTACATTTGAAGTTAATTTAGGCATTAATAAACAGTTTCAGAGGAGTGATCATAGCGCTCTGCATCAGCAGTGCTGCGTCTGACTCCCTGCCAGCTCCCAGATCAGCTTCTCCGATTGGTCGATGTGGCGCGTCCAGCAGCTGCTGCTGCTTGTAACGCGCCGCAGGACCTTTTGCTGCGTCTTGATGCGCGTTCAACCATTGACTTTGCGTGTAAACTAGCTGCTTCTCCTGCCTGTGGCGTTTCTGGTTCGAATGTAGCATTAAAGAAAAGCTCAGAGGATGAAGATCTGAGCGTTGTGTTGGTCTTCCTCAGGTGCAAACGGCTTCCTGCAGACGGTCCACAGGAACATGACCTCCAAGCTGCTGCAGCTCCCCGACAAACACTCTGTGACGGAGCTGCTCAACACCTGGGCCCAGAGCGTCCGACAGGCCTGCCTTTCTGCTGCCTGAAGCCCCGCCCACCGGAGCCCACCTGCCTCAGTCCCCGACACTAAAGCCCCGCCCAACCGAGTCCTGGAAGGATGACTGGCTGCTGCTCATCGCAGATGTTTCTCCACGACGCACCGTCCGTCGTTTTTCTGTCACAGACGTTTAAAAAGTGAACAGTATGAGTGAAGATTTATCCTATAAATGTTTCTTTTTTATGAATAAAATCAGTTCCAGCATGAAGCCAAACGTCGTTCTTCTTCTCTGGTTCCTCAGTGTTCAGTTCAGACGGGTTTATAAAGCAGAGCAGGGAGAGAAAGAAAGGAGACCTTAAGGCTGAAGTTGTTGAGCTGCTAAGCAGGATTTTCCCTGACCAGCCTGAAAAGATGGAAGATGCCACTGATGTAGTTCGTAGAGGGGAGACCTGCAGAAAACAAATAATAATCCTGTTTGCTAAAGGAAATGTAAGAGATGAAGCAAACTAAAGCATCAAGGATCTGCAAAGAAGAAGGGATTCGGTTTGCAGAGGATCTGACCCAGGAGGACTGGAAACCCAGGCGGGCACTGCGGCCAAGAATGGAGAAGGCAAGGGAGGAGGGTAAGGCTGCGGAGGGTAAGGCTGCGGGATTCAGAGGATCCCTGCCTACATCCAAGGAAAGCGTATTACAGGCTGAAGTGTTATCAGTATGAGAGGTTTGATCATCAGATGGAGAAATTTAATTCTTTGGACTGTTAGAGGGACTCTTCTCAAGTGTTGCTGCTCTGCCTCCTAGAACTTAAAATATATTCTTTGGTTTTTTGTTATTGTTCATAATTCAGTCAGGACTTAATTTAAAGACTGATCTTTTTTTTCTTTTAAGGTGAGAGGGATCAAAGACTCTGTTAAGCGTAAAGCTGTAGTTTTATTCTGCAAAAATCAGAAGGCTAAATGTGTTTTTCTTTAAGAGACGCACTCAGAATCCACCCATGGGAAATTTTAGACTCAACAGTGAAGATAAGATGGTTTTTAGTCATTGAACAAATGATTGTGCAGGTGTAGCTATTGCTTGAATAGATGTCAGCTGTCAACCTATCAAACAATTGTGTGAATCTTTGCTCTCTTCTGACTAGTAAACTCATAAACACGCCTCCTTCTCATTACAGACTGTCTTATATGGTTTTTTTTTATCTGAAAACAAAAGATGAATATTATCTCATTAATAGCATTATCATCACTTTAAAATTTTATATACATAAATGCAGATTTGGAAAAGCTAAACCGATCTGGTCTGAATTTAAACAGGAGATCCATCTTATAAACATTTCCTTGGACAAAATTCAGAAACTAAAAGCAAAAAGTTTGTCATATCACCCCTCTAATTTATTTCAGCAATCCCTCCATACAAATTAAAGAATGATGCTTACTTGGCTTTTTTTGTGTGTGTGTGTTTTGTATTTTTTTTATTATTTTTATTTATTCATTTATCTTTCATTATAATTCTGTTATATTCGACATTTGTAATTATAGAAATCTTTGGATTTCGATTTTTTTTTCTCTCTCTTTCTGAAGTGTATTGCATAAACTAAACATTTTTTTACCTCGCAACTTGAAAGAAAAGAAAAAAATATGAAGAAAAGTGTTAGAAGGTATGATTGACTTTATGCTATGCTTTATTATACTGCATTGTTTGAGTTAGTCATTGTTACTGTTCCAAATAAAGCTATTAAGAAAAAAAGTCTGGATCAGTACCACGGACAGTTCCTTCCATTTGGCAGTTCCTGCCAAATGTTTAGTAAATAACAAAAAAACAACTCATTTTGTAAACTAAAAATTGGATTAAATTCAAACTACAAATTAAATTCTGGAAAAAGTTTTAATCAAAACAGGTTTGGAGAATAAATTTGTCTTTTTTTGATGTTTTATTTTTTACTTTTTTTCATTTTTAGTTTCATTTATTATTATTTTTTCTGTTTATTGTTTTAGATTGAGTTTCCTTTGGTCAGCTGGACCTAGAAACATTTTTTCTGGTGGAACGGAGCGTTTGGATTGGCAATGAAGACGAGAGCTTTGCAGTTTGGGAAGATTTCTGTTTCCTGGTGGAAAAAAATATATAGAAAATTATTAAACATATTTATTAGGGGTGTCAACAATAATCGATTCAGCGTTGCATTGCAATGCGGGGAATGCACGATTCAGCATCGATGCGGCAACGTGCCATAATCGATTATGTCACTGTTTATTTTCTTGCCTCAAATGGACAAGTGGTGAAGTTTCAATTACTTCCGGGGGCATACCAACAACAATCAAGATGGCTGAGGCGGAGGGAGATGACCGCGATAGACGGGTAGGCCTAATTAAAAACGCACCAAAAGCTTGGAAAGCGGATATCTGGGCACATTTTGGATTTCACGAAGTCAGTGGGATTTTGATGCATCACAATGCATCGTAGAATCGAATTGTTACCTGGTGAATCGGAATCGAATCGTGAGGGCAGTGCCAATGCACACCCCTAATATTTATGCTGTTTTATTATTTTTTTAGCTTTTTCTCTCCTGATTCGGGAAGCGCTTTATAAATACAAGTCATTTAAAATTTAAAGTGCTACAGAAAGCTTTTACTTTTTTTTATTTTATATTTCAACAAACAAAATGTTCTCTTTGCTGGATGGAATAATGGAACAAACTTTCCGCCATAGTCAGCCGCTCGGCTCTGGGTGTTTCTAAAAGGCTCAGAGGTTGGTTTGGTCTTCCTCAGGGGCAGACGCTCCACAGGAACATGACCTCCAAGCTGCTGCAGCTGCCCGACAGGCCTACCTGTGGCCCCGCCCACTGGAGCCCACCTGCCTCAGTCCCCGACACTAAAGCCCAACCCAACAGAGTCCTGGAAGCAGGGGGGCCGCCAGGAATTTGGGGCCCATAATTACACCAGCTTTAATGCTGCTATAACCATCGATGTGGAGGCCATTTTTATTGTTATATTTCTACAAAGGAAAATTATCAGAACATGAAAAAGTTAAATATACATTAAGTTTAAATTTTATATTTATATCCTGTCTAAATAATAAAAGCTTATTTAAATCAAAAAGCACAGCCGTGTCTATGAATAGAAAATAGGTTTAGGATCGTGAAAATATATTTCTATTATTGTTCACTATAACTTTAGGATGGATTATTTTGATGCCCTGAGAGCTTATTTTTCATTCATCTGGACGTTTAATGAGAATAAAACGTATTTTTCTATGTTGCTGCTTCAGATTTATAGAAATCTATATAGAATAGATCTGTTAATGGTTGTAATTTAATCTGAATATAAAAATCTAAACTGTTTTAATATTGACATAGATTGGATCATGTGTTTCTATGATGGAGGAACATGGATGTAAACATCTGCCAGCGTTTAGCTGCTGCTAACCTCTGAAGGTGTTTCCTGTTTCCTGCTCTGGTTAATTTGTTTATTTCGTTATCTCTACATCAAATGATGGAGAGAAATATCAGCTGTGCTGCTGCCATCAACACCTTTGTTTCTAGATGTTGGAGCTTGACCTGTTTTTCCAGTGTAGTCCTGTTTCTCTGACTGTGACTAACTGGATGTGCTCTCTTCATCCTCTGACATGGGAGCTGGCTCGGAGCTCGTCTGCCTGGCTGTGTGTTTCCTGGACGGGGCCGCCTGTGGAGCTGGTTGACAGTTGCCTTTTGTATCTATGCTTCTTTTTCTATGTCTGCGACATTTAGGAAGCTTCTCGTTTCATTGCTTTATATAACTCTGGAGTTTTATTTTGAAAGTTCAGATCTCTGCTTTTCTGTTATTTGAGCTTTAATTTGAAAGGACTTCCTGAAACGCGTGGTTCTGATGCAGACGCCTCTCAGGCTGAAGCGCTTTGCTCCTGGATCCTGGAGAAAGAGCGTCTCAGGAAACGGACAGCTGGGTTCCGGTCCGCTCGCTGAAGGAGCGGTTCTGAATCGGTTTCAGGTCCAGTTGATAGAACGGGTCGTAACGGGCTTCCGTAAACAGACACACAGAACCAGCGGTTGTAGAAATATAAGAAAAGATCAGGTTTTATTTGGGCTTCAGGTTCTACGCCTCATCAGAACAGTCTGGGAAGCGGTCCAGATGACGGGTCAGAAGCTGAGGGAGAAGGCTCTGTAGGACAGGTTGGTGAAGATGTCGATGCGGTTGCTGCCGCCGCCCACCGTCAGCATCTGTAACACAAACAGCCGTCAGCACACCGGACCGGACCAGACCGCCGGCGCCACGTTCAGGGACCCACCCGGTGTTCAGAGCTCCTGGTGTTCAGCTGCAGCGTGTTGAGGCTCGGCGCCGTGCACGGGATCTGGGCCTTGACCTCTCCTCCCAGCAGGCAGTGGGAAACGAAGGCGCCGTCGCCGGCGGCCAGGATCTACAGACAAAGACACATGGTGAGCGACGTGGCGGCCCGCTGGCTGGACTCGGTCCGGGCGGTTCTCACCATGTCCTGGTGGAAGATGGCCTGGCGCTGGCAGCCGCTCAGAGGGAAGACGGAGGTGGGGGACAGGGAGCGCAGGTGCCAGAGGGAAAGAGACGGCCCGCCTCCACACAGCTGCAGGACAGACAGGCCGTTAGAACGCGGCGGGGGTCGCCGTGGCAACTGGGTGACTACTTACCATCCAGTCGGAGTCGGTGGTCAGGCAGCTGATCCACTTCCCGTACTGAGGTCTGGCGCAGCTCTGAAACAGAAGACGGGTTTGGTTCGGTTCTGTCTGCGAGGAACCGTGCGGTTCATGTTCGGCCGCTCGCCGCTCACCTCATACTTGTAGAGCTCGATGCGGTGGACGCACTGACCCGTCCGGCTGTCTGAAGGACGCATCATCATCATCATCATCATCATCATTGTTATCATACGCTGGCGATGGAGGCGGCTGATACTCACCCCACATCCTCACGGCGCCATCCTCTCCGCCTGACAGAAGCTCCGCCTCCCGTTCCCGCATGCACACACAGTGCACGTAGTCAGTGTGACCCTGGAGCGTGGCCTGTGGGGGGGGGATGATCAGACACGGCTGATTGGCTGCAGGAAAAGAAGACGATGCTGACGCACCTTGAAGGCTCCGTGCTCCAGGTCCAGGATGTGGACGTTGTTGTCTCCAGCACCGACCGCCAGGCTGTTGTCCTGGAGACAGAAAACACCGTCAGACTCGCCAAGCCCCCTATCGCCCCGCCCCCCTCGTCTACTCGGACGCTCTGCTTCTCACCCGACGGTTGATGGCCATAGAGTTGATCTCTGGGATCTCCAGACCCGACCTGCCAAAGACACAACAGAGACGTGATACGCTGTCGCCCCTGACGACCGGCGGACGGCGAGCGCCGCAGTCATCCTCACTTGTAGTCGGGCCTCTTGGTCCAGAGCGGCTTCACGTTCTGAGGAGACACCAGGTTCGTCACTGCCAAAGGTTCTGAGCGGCTCATGAGCGCTATGGCGCTGAGCGGTATGGCAAGCCGTCAGTCACCAAAAACCAGCGCCGCCCTAACAGGCTTTCAAAAGAATCAGATTTCCTGCGGTCCTCGAACACAACTGTTTACATCACGGCTGCGCCGCGGACGACTGCGCAGCCTCTCCTGGTTAGAGGTTCTGATCCGTTACCGGATGGAGCAGCACTGGTTTCTGGCACTAACGGCTTTCCGTAGGGGGCGGGCGTTACCTTCTTGATGAGTTCGGTCCAGCTCCAGGCGCTGACCTCTCCGTTCCCGGCGCTCAGCAGGAC